AAAAGGTTTAATACTACACGCAAATGCGAAAGCTGTACAAATGTAACAGGGGGACCTACTGTCAACCTGGACACCTCTGAAGTGAACTTGGGTGAGGTGACACCCGGTTCTTTTCAGGCTTTGGACGTGAAATCCATTTTAGCCTTTTCGAAAGCGTCTATGTTTGTATGAAATAAGACACAAAGCAGTTTCTCTGTTCGGTGGATGCAACTTTTTCTTTGCTTAATTTTTATTCGTGAGGAACCCTTCGCTTCTAGTTTTCTCTCTAAAGTCCGCATAGCTCATGGCAGGGAGTAGTGAAGAGAGGCTGACAGGAGCAATGCTTCTGTGTCCCTAACCTCAGCCATCAGACTGCTCTCTTACATCAGCGAAGACCAAGCTTGATGCTCGCTCCGCCTTTCACTTTGGGGCTGATACACCCGTGTCTCTAGGCCGGGTGATTACTCTGTTTCCTCGTGTATCCAAAGATAGAAACAGAAGCCGGGGCTGGGGAAGCTAGGAGAATAGGCCCCGACTGCCTAAATTCGCAAGAGCTGACAGCGTGTGGGAAAAACAGAAGGATGCCACGAAGTGCAGACAGGAGCCCATCGGCAGGTGAGCTGCGAGGCGGATGAGCTCAGGAAGGACAAGTGGTCTTGCCCGGGTGACACTGAGGTTAGCGTTTCCTACCGCAGGGCCCCATCCTCATGCCGAAGGAAGAGTTGCTGAAAGCGGTTCCTCCCCTCTGTTTCTACGCATTTCACTAACTTGATGCATGGGAATGTTTCAGTATTGATCTGAGTCTTCACTCATGGATCATCATGCTTTCCTCAATGCCCTGAGACTGGGCCCTCAGTGTGAGGCACATGTCGCAGGTGTTCGTGGTGAGAATTATGCAGCAGTCACACTGAGGAAGAAACCTCAATGGACCCAGGGATTGCTGCGGGACACCCCAAAGCATTGTTTTATGCTCTCAGCCAGAAGGGGAAGTTGGTATTAGCATCACATAGGAAGTGTCAGGGATTCTGGGAAATCAGAGAGGAAAAAACAAGGAAAACAAAATGAGAATATAATTGAAATCTACCCTTCTGACTGCAAAATATGTTCAGGGCCTCAGAAAGTTGAATAAAATGGTAATCCAGAGAGTTTGTCACCCATGAAATGAATATTTTGAGAGCAGGTTAATCTTTTTCAATCTGCTGAGTCGGAATCTGGATTCGTTCCACACTTCAGGTGACAGATGCCAAAGTATCTTCAAGAGTAACCAAAGGGTGCTGCTTAGCAAATACAAATATTAAAACAATCATCCTTCCAGAAGCATAGCCTCCGTCTCCAGTGACTAACCTTCTACACTATATTTTCACCTAAACCATTATGCTGGGATGGAAAAAGACATCGTGTTTTGCAGCTCTATTATTTTCATGTCAGAAGACTGATGAGAGTGATAGAGAGTTTAGGGTGTCATGCTTTCCCCCAAAAGCCACATTTCTCCTGGAGCCATTTAATATTTCATTCCTAGTATACACTATGATATAAAAAAAATCTGAATCCTGCTACTCTTTGTTGTATAGGTAAGAAAAAGAAAACATCAATTTGCGATTTATATAGAAACTCCATGTTGACACTAAAATAAAGCAGTGGGCAATATAACCTGGCATCTATTGTAATGCTGCATGCTTTTGTGATGTTCTGAAAACATCACAATCAATTTAAACAAATAGTCTCTTTTATTAAATGCCACTTCCTACCAAGGCCGGTTGTTCATCTGTTTTCCACACCGTAGCTACAGTCACAAGACTGCTTGAATGGAAACCTGCTAACTTTTCAGTAAGGCTGTGACCCCCCAGCCCCCCAAAAAGGAGAAAATGATCCCCCAAAACACCTCAGAGACTATTCTGACCAGGAATAAAGTGGAAATTTTGTGTCGTGCTTTTAAGTAAACATGTACTTTCCAAACTTAAAACTAGGAGGCAAGGTTGTAGGAAGGGGTTCGTGTCTTTCTTTTGACTCAAAGTCTATGAATTTGCACATAAGGGCGACAGGTACCTGTTCACCTGCATTTCGAAGTGGGCCCGGTATGTGGGCACTGCAGCCTGGCAAGTAAACACACAGATAGCAAGAGCTCAGAGTGCTCATTTGTTAAAAGCTTCGTCATTCACTGAGATGAAGCAAAGGATAAAAAGTGGTCCAAGCAAGTAGGAGGCAGAGACACAGCACCCCTCCCTTCAGGCCGCCTTTGGAGTCCTGGCACTGCGCTACCTACCGAGCCGCTTCTGCTGACTCCTGTCCTGCCCTAACTGCGTGCTCTCCCCTGGCGGGACTCCCCAGAGGCCCTTAAGCACGTTGCCCCTTCCAAGGCTAAGTTTAGAGGTGAGGTTCTCTATGAAGTCTTGTTAGACGCTGGGAGGCTCCCTTATTTTATAACAACCCTTGGTCATACTGTATTAGAACCATCAGTTTCTTGTCTCCCTTATCAGACTGTAAGCTCCTCAAAGCCTGAGCCTGGCTTTGCTACCTGGTGGTACCCAGGATTCTTTCAGTGAGTGAATATATGTACCTAGTGGCATTGAAATCAATTTAATTTCGTTGTTTTTCTGTGCAGACAGTAGTTAAAAGGAAGAAGGGGAGGGATGGGGAAGTAAAAAAATTAAGATGTGTTATGTATGCACCAGTAAATTAAAAAAGCAATTAAAATTACAAAGCCATCTCCCTGCAAGCTATAACCAATATTAATTGGCCTCCTCTGCTACACATCTGGTTGTATTACTGTTGGTGTTCCCAAAATAAAGAGTAGGCAGGGGGAAGCCCCTGTTCCTTAGAATCAAATGGAGTGAGGACACATCTGCCTTTGCACTTCCACCTGTAAAACTGAGCTGGTGCGCACGGGATGTTCGGATTTAAGGTCTGGGAAACTTGAGTCTGTTCCGCCAGTGCTTAAACTGTGATTAAAAAGTTTTACATAGATACCAATATTCATGTTCTCATTTCTGAAATAATGTTATCACAAATACATTTTTGAATGATGTATAATTATAGAAGCACTTCATTCTTGCCCATCTTGACACTTTCATTGAACCCGGCAACAACGGACAGTTATGTGCATTTATTCAATTTTGAATAAAAAAGTGTTACCTAAAATGCCTACCTAACTCACTTCCAGGATAAATAATAATTTTTACAACAGATTATTCCCTCAGACATCCAGTTCTACTATTATTTTAGTTTTATATCTCTACAGGTATTTAATTTTATTTCATTTCTAATATTATTTTTATTTTATTTCTACACAGCTTTTGATGAATGTCAAATGTTCCAAAATTATCACAAATTGTCAAATTAATGAAATCGACACATTTTGATAACATCTCAATCTATTATTTGTGATCACTAACAGTCATTAGAGGGTTTTGTATTTATATTTAAAATACACCTATATTGTAAATATATTTACATGAGATATCTTTATGCAGTAAATATATTTAAATATGTTTATGTTTTAAAATAGATTTAAATATATTTATGTTCAATTGCTAAGTGTGCAATCAGATAATTTAAATTAACATAGAATGAAATGCAATTTTCTAGAGTCAATGATGCCAGCCAAGAGATAAGGAGAGATGGGTCAGTTGAAGATAAAGAACAATTACAAGATTTTCTTTCTATTAAACATTCGGTTTACAGCTTGCTTTCTCCAAAGCGGCACAGTATTTCAGAGTAGTGATTCGTGTCGATAGTTTTGAATTTCTGTATTTGAGAAATATTCACTACTGCAATTGGCACTGCAAAATGGAATTCTACAAGTTAGGCTTGCTTTCTTCTAGAGATAAGCCACTTTTCTGAACTTCCTTCTGCTGAACACCTAGCCAATACTCTCTCCTCTCCTCAGCCCCAAAGCAAAGACAGAATAAGAAGATGCCATACCCAGGTCAGATGCCTGTTTTGTTCCACAACAAAGAAAGAAGAGGAACCAAAGATGACTGGGAGTAACAAAGCAAGTGTGGAGGCCTCATCCTCTGTCCGTTCCCCACTCCTCTGGTTCTTACTGTCAAGACCCTTGGCCTCCTGTAAACTGGGGATGATGATTTGAGGCCAAAGGCCCCTTCATACTCTGCACAGCCAGCTTTGAAGAGACCCCTTTTTCGTTTTTACCCAAATACATGGTCTCCTTTGAGTTGCTCAGCGGTGGGCAGACAAACTGAGCCTAGGAGCCAAAATGGCCAGTCACAGTACCTCCATCAGCTTTTTGTCAGAGATACGAATTTGGAAAGTTTGGGGAAAATTAAAATGGTACACAACTGGCGCGGGATTCTGACTCTGGCTGGCTGTGGCATCACTAGTCTTGTTTTTCTGGGCTTTAGATGCCTAGTCTGGTGCCCCTCCACACTCCTGTGGTCCACTTCCAGAACAGCTGCCCCGTCAGACATTTTGACTGGGATCTGACTGGATGTCGAAGTTCGAAAAACGTATGAAAACCATCAGCCTTTCAAGTCTTAAACATTTGGAAATGATTCCACCCTTAACTGCAGGAATCACCTTTGGTGATACAGAACACAGGCAGTGTGTGGGCAATACGTGTGTGCTTTGATGCTGTTCTTTTCAAATGTCCACACTGTGTCCAATCACCTCTTCACCTCTGCTACGGTGGCTTTAAAACAGGCCTGCAAATTCCTTGACCAGACCTCCAACACCAGGTGAAGTCTCAGGCCCTTCCTCTTGGTCACAGCCTGGTCATGGGCAGCCAAGAATAAAATTGAGTGGTGGTACTTCTGAGCCCAGGCCCTGAGAGCAGTGTCTCTCCCTGTCTCTGTCTCTCTCTCCCTCTCAGCAAGAATAGTTTCTGGGACTGGCCACTGTGCTGTGAGGAAGGCTCAGCCATGTGAAGTAGCCAAGTTTAATATTAATATTGCATTTCATAATAATATTAATGTTATGTGATTAGTCTTGGCAATGGAACATAAATGGGCATGATGCGTTTCCTTCCTGGGTAAAATAATGAAAACCCATGTTTTCCTCTTCTGCAGGAGATGACAGATGGAGGTGGACCCAGCTGTACACTGCACCTGTTGGAGGGTGCACTCTGTCTCTCGGAAGGCTGCTGACAGAGTATCAAATGAACAAAAAAAAGCACATTCAAGTTCTTGCCTCTTAAATTCTTAATTATTAGACTTTTATAGGAAATATTTTGAAATATCGGGAAAAGTATGAAAAAATGTAATGGAATAAAAAACCTACAGTCTTAGTCTGTGCTGGTGCTGTTTGTTCACAATTTTCTCATTCTGTGAAATCTTTGCTGAAAATTTTCTGGATACGTGAAAACACTGAGGCAATTAATTTTTCTTTATTTCAATTTTTCCTTTTTATATTTTACTTCCATTTTTAAGCCTGCTTAGAAGAAAAGTGCATGTTAGATAGGTTATCCATCTTATAGTACAGCTGAGGCAAGGGTAAAAAATGAAGAATTAGAGTGCCTTTCTCTCTGCCCAGACAGAATGCGTTAACACTTAAAATCCTCAAATTCTATTTCTTTAAATTGTTCCTACTTCTACCTGGACATGTAGGTAAGTGAGAAGGAAACCATAGCACGGAAGGAAAATGTGATACTCATGTTTAGAATGGAAGAAAGAGCCCATGTTTCTTTTGTTCCATTTTTTCTTCCTTCTTTGTGTTTCTTTTTTATTTCTTTGTTAAAAATGGATGATGCCACATTTTCCACCACCTCGTTTTGTGCATCATATATGCCCAGGATTAAGGAAACTACCCATTTGTTTTCAGCTGCATATCTGCTAAAGCTTCAGCTTTGATTTTAATTTCTGTAGGACTAACTGTTTGGCTCCGTTAATACTGATGACAAAAGAACTATTTTTGGTGCCTCTTGGGAAGAAGAGAGCTGGAGCCTGTTATTTTCAATAATCCTGCTGTTCAGAGAGAATAGTGGCAACAAAGCCACTTTTTATCAAGTAACACTAAATTCCCTTGCCTCCGTGGGGTTATTCTTTAGTCTATCCACTTGGTCAAAAGTGCAGCACATCAAGAGTGAGCCATCACTGCTGGTTGCCTGATTCCAAAAAGAAGGAACCAAGGATGCATTGTTCCTTTGTTTCTTCCCATATTATGCATTTTTAGAAAGCAGTTCTTGTTTGTTTTTATCCTCAAGTGTTTAACAAAGATATCATTTCAGCACCTCATCCTGAGACCTCATTTAGAAACTTATTCCGTCTATTTTCTTCTCAATTTTTACTTCCATAAACAGAGAATCACTGTATTTAAGTTAAACATTGACTACTTTCATCAAAGAAGTCAAGAAAAATCCCTGCAATGCCACAGTACTAAGATTTCCCAAAGAGCATCCTGTAGATCCATAATCAATACCATGTAATTAGTAACAGTGGTGGATATAGCCCGTGGCAGACCTCAACAAAACATATGCAAGAAAAAAATGCACAAGAACAGTGATCTAGCAAGAAAAACTAATGTCAAGAAGGCTGATTCCACCAGTGAGAACAAAGTGAACTTTTCTTAAATATCTAGCACTATTCCACAGGATAAATTTGAGGGGCTCGATGGAGGTATAATCAACATAATTTGGAGACCAGTTTATGTCAGTCTTGAGAACAGAAGTTAAAATAATTACAAGGTTATGGGCCAGGGATTTAGCTCAGTGGTTTCACCACCCGCCTCACAAGCACAGGGATCTGAGTTCGATCCCCGGTACCAAAAAAAAACCCCAAACAAAAAAACAAAACAAAACAACAACAAAAAAATAATTACAAGGTATAATTTGGTAGACCACATCACCTTAAAAATTTAATTGGAAAGATATGAAAAAAGATATGGAGTCATTGGGATATGTTTGATTAGGGAAAGTTCGTGATAGGGAATAACAGTATTTAAAATATTTGAGCAATGTAATGGAGAAGATGAGAAAGTATAGTAAATTTATTTTCTATTTCTACAGGAGAATGATTTGAAATTAACTAGAAAAATAGAGACTAAAGGTCAAACATTGTAAAAATATCTGTTTTAGCACGATAATGAATGAGGCAGCCTGGGGAAGGGGTGCACAGTTAACCATTTTCAAGAGGAAGCTGATCCGAGTCACCGCAGCTGAGACGGAGATGCACTTTGGCAAAAGCAAAAACAAACGCAACCCAGCAAGATCTTTTGAATGGCTACGTGTGGGTGAAAGGTGTGGTCACCAGAAGCGTGGTGAGGGAAGCTGGGAAATCAAACTGATTTTGAGTAACTGAGTGACTCGGACGAAAGACCAGAAAGAACGGGGGAGCAGCAGGTTGTACCTGTGGCAGGAATATGCAGAAAGGGCCGGGCCTCCCAGCTGTGCTCAGTGTGAGATGCCTAGGAGACATCTAAGTGGACATGCAGTGTATTCATACCCATATCTATATCTATCCATATCTATATCTATGTCTGTCTATGAAACATCTACCCTGTATCTGCTTGGACACTTATTTGATACATTTAGAAAATTGAGACTCCAAGTATAGAGTATGGAAAGGAGAATCGCCAAGAAACTGCAAGGAGCAGAAAGACAGAAGAGCAGAGACCTTTCTACCACAGCAGCACGAAGTTAAGGTGAGGCGGAATCCGAACACGGATTGTTGGGCCCGCAAGTCGAAGGTCCTGGGCAACGGTGATGGGAAGGGGCTCAGTGCGGAGGAGAGGAGATATCCATCGGAGCGTGTTAGGGACAGGGTGGGCAGTGTCAGCAAGGAGCCTTCCCCTGAAGGGGAGCAGAGACGGCAGCCACTGAGGGGAAGCAGGAGTCTATGGGAGGAACTGTGTGGTTTTGATTTAAGAAGAGATGCTGTCTAGGGAAGATTTGGGGCAGAAATGGATGCAGGTGGTAAAAAGGAAAATCTCTGGACCAAAGTCTTAGGAGAGAAAGGGCTGTGTCCAGGGCCCAGGGATCAGGAGGCTTATTGAGGGTGGGGAAGGTGGTTCTTACCTGATTGCTCCACTTAATGAAGTGAAAAGGAAGATTCCTGCGTGAACACGAGAAAGCTAAAGAATATGCCAGGTTTTGGGACAAGGGAATGTTCTGCATCATCTACTTAAAGGGAAAGAGCAAATTAAAGGAATATAGTGGAGTATTTGCCCAGTACCAAGTGCTTACTTGAATTTGTGACTCAAAAGTAAATGTGAGTCTATTAATTATGGCTGGATCAAATATCTATATTTACATTTAACAGCTTTAATATAGCAGTAAGTTGGAATGAAATATGAAGTTACTTGAGTTAGAGCTTTGCCAGATTGTTGTCTGCACAAGACAGAGGCCAACATTTCCGAAGGTGTTTCCAAAGAAGAGATTTGTTGACTCTACTGTTAAATAACACTAAGCTGGTTGGGGAGGAAATGAGGATTCAGAATCAAATGTGGACATGGAAAGTTGTGCAGGGTTGTGGCAGGCAGATTTTAAGACAGGCTTCATTATCTTTGTCCACTGCTGTTACTCATGGTATTGTTATATTGCAAGGCAAAAAGGATTTCATAGATGCGATTAAGGTTACTAAGTGATTGACTTTAACATAGCAAACTTTTTGAGGCGGGCTTAAGCTCATCACATAAGCTTTTAGAAATCATTTTTTTTCCTGACTGAAGAAGTAGAAGCTCATGAAGCTGCAAGGAAGAGAAGCATTTGAGACACCACCATTGGCTTGAGTGAACATCCTGTGAGGAATGTGGGCAGGTCTAGGAGCTGCAGTTGGTTCCCGAATGGGGATCTGGCTTAACAGACAGAGGAGCTGAGTTCTTCCACCAACTGGAATAAGCTTAGAGCTGGATTTTTCCTATGGCCTCTGTATTCTAGCCCAGGCTCACTGTCACACTGATCTCAGTCTCTTGTGAGACTATTATGCTTGGATTTCTGCTTGGATTTCTGCTTGGATTTCTGATGTGCAAACCTAGTAAATCACGGATGGTTGTTAAGTCACTAAGTCTGTGATAATTTTACATGTAGTAATGGAACACCAATACAAGGGCAATGGATTATAGCTTTTATTGGAATAGAAGGATTGGGAATGATATGGAGGAAAGAGCCAAGAATTAAATGCTTGAAACTGAAATTTTGAAGAAAACATGGCCTTTGGTGATAAAACAACCTTAAAGTATGTAGAAATGAAAATTGTTAGATAAGTTGCAGGAAAAGTCCTTTAAGGACAGAGAGGCAAAAGGAACTTTGGGTGTCAAGAGAGAGAACAGAGAATGTAGTACCAGGTGTTGGGTGTCTATATCTTTGGAAGCTCCTGCCTCCATGCCTGTTGTACTGGTTATAACTTCTGTTCTGATCCTTAAATGGCCCTATAAAACCTTCATTGTCTTCCCTTGAAAAAATTTTCAGTTTTGTTTGTGTCAAAATTTGTTTTCAGGAAACAATGGTCAACAAGTTTGTATTAGTCAGCTTTCTGTTGCTGGATGAAACACCTGACAGCCACAGCTTAAAGTAGATGTTTTATTTGGCTCATGGTTTCGGAGGTTTTGGTCCACGGTGAGCCTACACCAAGACAGAAACATCACGGTGGAAGGGTATGGTAGAGTGAAATTGCTCACTTCATGGCTTTCAGAAGCAGTGTGTACAGGAAGAGTGCCGGTGAGAGATGAACCCTTCAAAGGCACACCCCAGTGACCCACCTCCAACTGGGCCTGACCTCCTAACGGCACATAGAGTTATGAATACCCGTGGACTAATCCACTGATGAGCATAGCACCTCCAAGATCCACTTCTCCAGGAGTTTCTTAATCTAGTCAAGTTGAGAATTGAGATTAACTGGCACAAAGTTGTTTACTTATTTGAATTGTCAAACACTTGAAAGTGGGGATTGAATGTTATTTACCAATGAATATTCAGAGCTTAACCAGGCTTTCTCATATGGCTGATTTTCTTTTCTAGTTCAAATCAGTGTTTGTTACATATGATCATATTGATAAAAATGCTAAATACCTAATATTACATGCACATCCGTATTTCCTCCTACTTAAATTTAACTTATTTTACTAGCTAAATAATTCACCTTGCTTCAACCAAATTTCATCTTGTCAATTTTGGTAAAGCCCTTTGAGAGCTTCTATTGCAAACTGAGGTTCACTTTCTGTGATTGTGTTCCTCCGTTTACTATCTTAAGTAGCATGTACTTAGCATTGTATAATCACTAGCATTATCATAATTTGGAGATAGACTCTTCTAGCCTGACTGGCTCATTC